TTTATATCAGCTTCACTGGAATGTGTTGTGATGTGTCGCGCACACTTCATGGTTCTACCATTGAAGAGTATAATTGAAAATTGTAACGCATTAAATATTGCCTCACAAGTGTCGTAGAAACTTGCATTTTTTGATTTGTTACGGAAGGGAAGCGTACTTCGACCACAGGCGTGATGGAAGACGAACCGAGTACATCTGTTGCTACTATTCATAAGAAACAAATCAATTGAGTGCTAGGTCACACCATGCATATGTAACGACTTGAGGCGTACAATATCCTTACTATGTGAGACCATCTTATTGCAGTTACCTGGTGTATGTATCCCTGTCTTTACGTCAGGCATCAGGTTCATGTTCTTCACTCCGCGTTCCCTCAGTGTTCTACGCAACTACTCGTATGGAGACATTATCGACCCTTCACTCGCAACTCTAACAGACTTTATTACCTTTATTTTACAAAAGAATTTACAGTCTAAATTTTGCTGGCACGCCAAGTTCCAGGAAAATGGCATTGCGTTTCATTCTTACCTCTCTCCCCTTCAGACAAGAGCATGCAACAGACAGATGGACAATGCTTTCCATACATATTGTTTCAAGCCCACAACCACTCGCAAATTCACGTGCCTGTGTTATTTCAAAGATGATCGACAGGCTTTCGTACGCAATTTGGTCTATTCGGACTCTAACAAAGGCTTCACAAAACTTTCCTACGGTCCTCTCCCCTACAGGCAGACTGGGAATGGCCCCGCCCGGTCCTTCCCCGTCAACGGCCCACCAACGGCCCGTATGTGTCAAAATGGGAGATTTGCTTCACGTGACATTTCTTGCCGCAGCCGGTAGCCCCTCACCCACGTCCCCAGAGCCGTCCACGCTTGCCTTGTGTCCACCTCCCGCTGGGCCCACCCCTCAGCCCGTCTGCCTCACTGCCGCCTCGGGAGCATGGCTCGAAGACGCCTCAGCTGTGTGCTTGCACAGCGTGGGAACGAGCCTCACCAGACGCGACCCGGATCTCAACACGTCGCCAGAGAGAGTGAAAGTCGGAGACGTGGTGACTGTGAGTGGGGCAGGGGGCTCGAACGCCTGGATGCTGGACGGGCGCTCCGATCAGTTGTGCTGGGGCGACACGGAGAAAGGGAAGGACAGAAGGCAAGCATTTGTCATCGCACCACCACCTTCGACCGAATCCTTGCCGGAATATGTGGGAGTAAATGAGGAAGAGGGAGAGCGGGAAGACGCTGGGGGCGCGTTGCGCGTGGGCGACGCGTTCGTCCTTGTCCCCGTGGGGGGCGAGGGACTCGAGAGCCGGAGATTGGTGGCCCGCATACCCGGATACAAGGACATGCTGAGAAGCCCTGCCTCCGTGCTAGGCTCGTCCTCCTCCCCCTCGCACAGCCATCGCGGCATAGATCCTGCGGCTCCTCCGCCCCCCGCCGCCTCCCTCTCCTCGCCCTCCTCCCCCCCTCCCCCCTCCCGGCCCGTGGCCGAGCGTTCTCCTGTCTATGAGCTCTGCCTTCGTTGCGGGGAAAAGGAAGGGATGGACGTGGGCTCTGAGCCACCCCCCTCGTACCCCTTGTTTGTGAGGATCGCCTCTCGCCTTCCAGCCGGCGCCTCCCTGCCGTCCATTCCCCCCGCGGACCCGGGAGCCCTCGGAGTCGCCCTCCCCCACCCTCCCTCCCCCTCTGCAAACCCCAGGCACGGGGAAGAGCAGGGCTCCAGGGAGGGAGCGGACAGCGTGGTCTCGGTCCTCTTCCAGCAAGGGGACTTGGGCCTGTCTCTCGCACGCACCCCCTCGGGGCGGGCGCGCGTCCTCCGGCTGCAGCCCCACACCCAGGCGGATCGGAACGGCATCCGCGCTGGAGATGTCATCATCCAGCTCAACGAGGACTGGGATCTGAGCAAGCAGGTGCTGGATAGCGAGAGCTGGGCCGCCATGGTGCAGTACATCAAGACGAGCCCGCGGCCGTTACGGCTAACGGTCGCAAGAAAAAGGCCGACGCCCTCGCGCCCATCGCCTCCACAACCATTTCTCTCAGATCCGTCCGAGGGAACAGACGAGCAGGCGGGGGCTCGGACTGCTTCTCCTTGTGCGACTCCCTCGCCCCGACCCCCGGGCGCGGCCCTTTGCCTGCCGGCCTGCCCCCCGGGCCTGCGTGCCGACCCAACCTCTGCCCCCCCGTCCCCCGCAAGGTCATCCCGGAAATTGCTTTTTCGAGGGCCTTTGAGGCTCTGGCAGGAAGGTCGGCTTTGGGGGGGGTCGTGGGAGGAAAGGGACGCGTACCTTTTCTCCGATGCCTTCGTCCTCGCTTTTCCTCCCTCCCCCCCCCCTCTGGCGGCCCCCTCAAGGCTCCAGCTATGGAGATTGACGCATCCTGGGCCTTGGCCACCTGCAAGCTCAGGGAGGAGGGGGGGAAGGAGGGCGGGGAGAAGGTAGGGGTCGGGAGACGGGACGGGGGCTGCTTCGAGCTGGTCACACCGCTGCGGATGTACGTCCTCGCAGCTCCTTCCCCCTCGGAACGGGAGGGCTGGCTCGCCGCCATCTATGCTGGCATGGTCGCCTTGGCGCGGATGGGGATGGTCGGAGGTGGGGAGGGAGGGCAGGCGGACGTGGGGATGCGGCATCAGCTAATTTTAGACTCCTTGCATGCGGCGGTGGTGTATGGGAAAATGGATCGGGTGCGTGCCCTTGTGGGGCGAAGGGAGGAAGAGGACAAAGACGGTGGCGGAAGAGGAGGGGAGGGAGGGAACGGGGAGGGCAAGGGCGGGGGGTTGCCGGGAGAAGGGGGTGCCCTTCCTGACCGGCCTCTGTCCCAGAAGAGCAACGACCCGTCCCAGGCAGCCCGCCTCCCGCCTCCCTCTTCTGGTCCCCGCCCTGGCCCCCATCCCTCCATCCTGAACCGGGCGGACGAAGGCGGTCGGACGCCGCTGCACTACGCTTGCCTCTTCCGCCGCCACGAAATGATCTCCCTCCTCCTCTCCCGCGGGGCTGACCCCACCCAGGCGGACGCGGACGGTCGGCTGCCCCTCCATCTGGCAGCCTTGGCCTTGGACGACACCGGCGTCGCCCTCCTGCTCTCCTCCTCCTCCTCCTCCCCGCCCTCCTCCTCTCCGTCTTCCTCGCCCTTCCTTCCCGTGCACTGTCTCGTCAATGCCCGCGACCACGACGGAAGAACCCCCGCCTTTCTCGCCACCACCTCCCCCAGGCTGGCTTGCCTGAGTCCGGGAAGCGGAGGGGAGGAGGAAAATGCGGAGGCCTTCTTTGCCCTGCGTCGGTGCCTGCTGGCCCTTCAGGTGCACGAAGCAGATTTGGATATGAAGGATCTAGAGGGACGCACAGCGATGCACGTGGCGAGTGCGGCATGGAGGGGGGGAGTGGTGCAGGTGCTGGGGGAGCTAGGGGGAGAGGTGGACGCTTTCACGCGGAGGCGGCGGAGAGAGGCAGCGCTGGACGTAGGCAGCGGCAATCAGGAGGGAGAAGACGGGGAGGAGGGAGAGGCCGGGGAGGAGGAGGAGGGAGAGAGGGAAGCGAAGACCCCATTGCAGTGGGCGTGCTCCTCGGGAGGGAGGGCGTGGGAGGCCCGGACGGAGGAGGAGGTGGCAGAGGCGGCGCAAGCCCTGGAGGGAACGCTGCGGGCCCTCCTCTCTATGGGTGCTCAGCCAAACCGAAGGTCTCGGAGGTGGACAGCGGATGGAGGCGGCGGGGGGACGATGGGGTCGAGGGCAAGGGAGGGGAAGACGAGGGGCGTGGGAGGGAAAGGGAGGGAATTTGGGGGAAGAACGGCCGCCGAGCTTACGCTGGAGCGGACCATGGCCTTGGCGCAGCCTGGGACAGAGACCAGAAGAGGGGAACAGAGGGGAGGAGAAGAGGGGAACAGAGGGGATGGGCCGGCTTCGGACAGTGGTGATTCCTCTCCCCCAGACCTTTCTGACGCGTCACCTTCCGCTGCGTCGGTCTTAAGCACACGGGCGTTGGCCCTTTTGGTCTCCTTTGGTGCCCGCGTGGACCTGAGCAGAAGCGACAAGAATACCCGGAGCAGCAGCAAGAGCAGTCTGACCGATTTCCTCCTGCCCTCCCAGGCCCCGAGGGGCGAGCAGCAGCGCCGGGAAGATCGACAGCAGCGACTGCAGTCAGCCAAGGCGGTGTGGAGCGCGAAAAAAGCGCCGTCGGCCAAAGATCTCTCTGCGGAGGCCATGCAACGCATCGCTCAAAAAGCCTGGCACCGGTGCCACGCAGGGTCTTTGGGCCTTGCGGGCGAGGGATATTTGGAAAGAGAAAGGGAAGGACATGGGGGGGTGAAAGAGGTGGAGGCGTGTCTGTTGTGCGAGGAGAGTTTCAATACCTTAGCTCGCCGGCAGCACCGGTGTCGTTTATGCGCGCTACCTGTATGCGGGGATTGTTCGAGCAAGCGACTTCCTCTGGGTGCCTATTTAGGGGGAGGAGGGAGGGAGGGAGGGAAAGGGGGAGGAGTCGAAACGATGGTTCGTGTCTGCGACGGTTGCTTCAATTGGGGCGTCTACGAGATGCTGAAGCTGCGTGTATCAGTGGGGGGGGAGCGTGTGCACGACAGAAAGGAGGCCAAATTTGTGGAGGCGGGAGCCAGGGAACGGGCGGAAGAACGAGAACTATTCGGGCAAAGTCGAGAAAAATCGGGGGGCCGAGGTGGGTTGATGAACTGGCTCCGAAAAGAGGCTAATCCTGCGGGACAGGCGAGTCGGCGGGCGACACAAGGCGTGATGGCGGCGATGGGGGAGTTGCGACACGGGCTTCAGGATCGAGGGGAGCGACTCGAGAGCCTCGCGGATAAGACTACGGAACTGGCGGATAGCTCCGCCCAATTTGCGGAGATGGCCAAGCAGTTGAATGAGCGGTATGGGGGTGGAGGAGGATGGTGGTGAGAGGGTGGGATAGGTGGCGAGAGTGGAAGAAACGTCCTCAGGAAAAAGTTGAGTGGGATCTGCCGGCGCGTCGGTGGCTGTAAATAAATTCAACGACGGAATGGTTTGTGGAATGTGAGAACTTCTTTCGGGTGCACTCGTTATGTTGTGGAAGGGATCCTTCTCCATGCTATGATGTCTTTTCACAAGTTGACTTTTGCTGGTAGATTTTACTATTGCTCAGACATTGTACGTCTTATTACAGCCTCTTCACTAGAGCAACGGCAACTCTAGTAAGAGATGAAGCTTTCCCCCGCTCTATCAACACTTTCTTCCTAACTCTAAACCCTTCCATATGCACATTATGTCTTTCTGCATTTTCTTCTTACTGAGTCCCAAGGCCTGTACATTGTTATCTCCTGCTTTATTTACATGCATCAAATCTTGCATTTCATAGACATTTTCAGTCCTCCCCAGATACCACATGCATTAATAGAGTAAAGCATCTAAGGATGTCTTCGTGCGATGCATTTTCCAGTCTTACTTACTTATGGCTGATTGCACTCAAAAAAATATTCCAACAAAATCCGACGGCATTGCTGTACAAGACCTGGTAGTGCTGAGGGACAAAGCGGAAGTTGACCATCATGGCCGGTATCCACACCGCCCAATTTGCGATCAGGGTCTCCTTGTAGTCTCTCTTCAACTTACGCCGGAGCTGGTCCATGTCGAAATTTCCATCCAAGAATTGTAGACCTGAGAAGAAGACAGGGATGAAAGCGGGGGCAAATATGCACTGATCGACAGCCAAACGCTTGAGAGCGCCAGAAGTATTTTGAACAGGGGCTAGCCGAATAAGGAACGAATACCAGTGGTGCAGAGCGGGCCCGACAAGGACACCTCCCAGCAGGAAAAATTTAGCGGTGCGGTACCAGTCGTAAGGAAGAGTGGGAGTGGGAGACGAACGTGCCACATTCGGGAGGTCTGTAGCACGTTCTTGCTGCTTTTCATATCGGGTGAGAAACTGGCACGCCACGTCGCCCGCGCCCATGATGAAAGAGGAGGTGAGGAGCTTTGTTTTCACTGGATGGTCTTTCAACCAGCGGCTATAGATAGCCCAGGGTGAGAGGAATGGTGATGAAGTGGCCTCGGTAGATTTGACAATTTTCCTGGTGGTGTTACAGTTGCTTGGAGCAGTTAGGAGACGACTCGGCAGTCGTGTGGTCCCGCAAGTCCTCTTGAACCAATCCCCGCGCGCAGACAAAAAGAACAATTTGTTTGTGTACTTCATGCTTAAATATTGCTGCCGTGTAGTCGAATCTCTTAAGACTCAGATGCAGGTTTTCGACGGTTGCAGGTCAGCACCTCCCAAAGCCGCACGGACCACACACCCTATTCTTGCCCACCAGCAGGTATATTCTATGTCTTAAATCTGAAATTCGGGGGAAATGAGTTCATCAATACCTCATCTTGTACATATCATGACCATTTTCTCATGCCTCATCAACGCGCGCAGGTACGCAGTGTCGCGCAGTTTTTTCTTATTGGTGTCATTCTAGGCGTGTGGATGTCGCTGAAAAACCTCCCGTCACCCGGAAGACTGACCATGACTTGGTGTTTCTAGTGTAAAATACACTGCGCTCAAGCGTTGCCCGGAACCAATATCCTTCATGCGTCCATAGCGATTCATTAACATATCGCGCTGGTCGTGTGTTGGCTCGATTTTTCCTCAGACTGTGGACGTTGAAGTCCTCAGCGACTAGTGCTGGAATGGCTTGAACGAGACCCGTATCGGCTGTTTTCATAACGTACCCTGGACGTCGACAACGCAGTAAAACTAGACTGCATGGTTTGTCGTCAATCATGACACTTCTACGCTACCGTTTGTGCGTCGTTTTCTTCGCGTCCCACATTCACAACTCCCTATCTGATGTAAACTAGCGGATGTTCCTGGCAGTGTGCTTCCGGGTGTTATTGTCCTTCATCTCACGCTACGAGTTCAGGCCCAGCTTGCTCACCATCGTGCAAACCAACTCTAAAACAGGCCATGATGGCTTGTAAAGCTCTTGTTATTGGCTTCCTAGGCATCGCAAACGAAGTCACCGCCATTTCCTCCACTGTATCCGGTTTCTGCTTTCGGCGTGCGTTCTTCACGACACGACGCGCGTCATCATTCAGTGCTGCCGCTCGCATGACCACTCAAAATCACCCACGCGCATTATTCTTGAACCCTGAGAATCAGCACGCAGTGGATGAGGCTCGCCGGCGGCACTATCGGGCGAGCAGTACAGCCTTGCATTCGTCCTCCTCCTCCTCCCCCAACCCCTCCTCCCTCTCCTTCTCCTCCAAAGAAGACTACCTGGCACATCTCAAGCGCATTGGTCAGCTGCCGGCAGGTTTTAAATGCGGCACGTCTTGGATTTCATTCACCCCCGTTGAAGCCAATTTTCCGTCGCGCATGAACGTGACGCTCATTGCTCTTGACGAGCCAACCGATAAATTCGCAATCGCATTCACCAAAAATGCGTTTCCCGGGGCCCCCATCCGTGTGGGACGCGAGCGCCTCAAGGAGACGCACCTTCAAGCCATCGTGGTGAACAACAAGATCAGCAACGTGTGCCCGGGGGGGGAGGGCGACGGGGGAGTCGGCGACGCGGAAGAAGTCTGCCAGGCCGTGGCCCGACGACTCGGGCTGCCGTCCGGAAAGCTGGTACTACCTAGCTCCACGGGCGTCATCGGGTGGCGATTGCCCCGCCAAGCCATCATTGACGCCGTCCCCCGGGTCTTGGAGACGATGCAGGCGGCCTCGGTCGTGCCCGCGGCCGCCGGGATCCTCACCACGGACCGGTACCCCAAGGTACGCGCCGCCACGGTGGCGGGGGGGAAAATCGTCGGCATCGCCAAAGGTGCCGGCATGATCGAGCCCAATCTCGCCACCATGCTCGTCTACCTCTTGACGGACCTGGCCCTGCCCCGCGATGTCCTCCGGGCCTGGCTCCCGGAGGTGGTGGGCGGGAGCTTCAACTGCATCAGCGTCGACAGCGACCAGAGCACGTCCGACACGGTCGCTCTCGTCTCCTCGGGCAAGGTGGCAGTCTCCGAGTCGGACTACCCCGCCATCAAAGCCTCCCTCACGTCCCTGGCCCAGCGCCTGGCCGAGGATATTGTGCGCAACGGGGAGGGTACCAACCATGTCATCGAACTGCACGTCTCCAACGCCCCCTCCGTGGAAGTAGCGCGCGCCCTGGGGAGGCACGTGATCAACTCACCTTTGCTTAAGTGCGCGATCGCGGGGAATGACCCCAACGTAGGGCGTCTGGCGGCGGCCGTGGGCAGCTATGTGGGGAATCAGGGCCTGACTGAAGGGCTGCGGCTGGAAAGGTGTCGCCTCTTGATGGGCGGGCAGGTGGTGTTCAAGGGGGGGGCCTTCGAGCTCGATCCTGAGAAGGAGGCTCTCTTGGTCGAGCATATGAAGGACGCGCAGCTTGACCCGGGCCCTTTGACAATGGACAGTGGCTCGCATGTCACCTTTCCGGCCCACGAGAAGAATGTGAAAGTAGAAGTAGACCTAGGGGAGCAGGCGGGGAAGGGCGTGGGACTGACACTGTACGGTAGTGATTTGACTTACGCTTATGTCGCGGAGAACGCTGATTATAGATCGTGAGGGTCAAGGCGGGGAGGGCGGGGGTATTGGATTCTTGGGGAGGCTACAGCGATAAGGAGGGAAAACTGCAGGAGTGGCATGGCTCCAGTATTCACACGCAGGCTGATTCTTTTCACATGGCCGTTTCATTGCTTGTGTACACTCATCTATGTATATTTTTCCCAAATGCGGGGACCCCACCCTAGACCCCTCCCCAGTCAAGCGTCGTCTGGGAAAAACTTGCCCGGGTTCAAAATGCCCTTCGGGTCCAGCATCTTCTTCATCCCCCGCATCACGTCCACCACCTCTTTGCTTTTGGTCTGCAGCAAATACGTTTTTTTCAGCTGGCCCAAGCCGTGTTCGGCGCTCACGCTGCCCTTGTGCTCCATCACCCAGGGGAGCACCCTGCTGACGACCCGGGATACCTCGGGCGGGTCAGGGGCTTCGCGTGGCACCGACACGTTCAGGTGCAGGTTGGAATCCCCCAGATGGCCGTACCCAACCACCCTCACCCCCCCTCCCTCCCCCATTACCACCCCTCCCTCTTCTAAGGCCTCCCGTGTGCGCTCGACCAGGGCATAGAAAGCGGAGAGGGGGAGGGAGACGTCGAATTTGTGGACCCGCCCCTCCTCCTCCATAGCCACGGGGATCAACTCTCTCAGCTTCCAGATCTCCTGGGCCTGGGCCAGGTCCTGCGCGACGGTACCGTCGCCCACCACCCCTCCCTCCAGGGCCGCCTCCAGCAGCTCCTCCATTTTTTCCCGGTCGTGGGCCTCGCCCGAGCCCGAGGTCTCCAAGAGCATGTAGAAAGGGAAGGGCGGGTTCGCGCCCGATCCCCCCGCCAGAGGGTTTCGCAGGCCCCACGCGGCTTTGCCTACCACCACGTCCATGGCAGCGGCGTCCACCAGCTCCATCGCGGACAGGATCTCGCCCAGCTTCCGCTTGCTGAGCATGACCATCTCCCGGACCTTCTCGAAGCTTTCCAACCCCACCAGGGCCACTTGCACCGCAGCAGGCGCCGGGGGCACCTGGAGGGAGACCTTGGTGATAACGCCCAAGGTGCCCTCGGCGCCGATGAAGATCTGCTTCAAGTCCAACCCCGTGTTGTCCTTGCGCAAGGTGCTGAGCATGTCGAGCACGCGCCCGTCGGCCAGCACCACCTCAAGACCGAGGACCGAGCCGTGCAAAGATCCGTACCGGAGGAAGCGTAGCCCCCCCGCATTGGTGGACACGTTGCCGCCGATTTGACAGCTGCCTTTGGCGCCTAAATCGAGCGGCATGATGTAGCCATGGGGGCGCAACCACGCGTCGAGCTCCTCGAGGACACAGCCTGCCTCGCAGACCAGGATGCCGCTGGCGGCGTCAAAGCTGATAATTTGATTCATGTTCGCAAGGGAAAGGATCACTTCGTTTGCGAGGGGGATCCCGCCCCCGACCAGACCCGTGTTTCCGCCCTGAGGGACCACGTGGAGGTCTCTCTCATAGCAATGCCGCAGGAGCCCCGCCACCTGCTCGGTCGTGCGGGGTTGAAGGACCGCTGGGCACTGGGGAGCTTTCCACTTGTGAGTCCAGTCTTGTGTGTAGGGGGCGAGCAAATTTTCGTCGTCCGGGCCTGAGGGGGCCAAGAGGAGTTTGCCGGCAGCGGAGGAGGGAGAGCGAGGAATAGCGCTAGCACCGCCTGCAGAGGAGGCATCGCACGAGGGCTTCATTGTGCTGGCTTGGTCATTGCCCATCCTTGCAGAGACGTGACTGGGATTTGTCGATGTCAGAATGGCTTGAAAACGAGAAATATCGGTTGGTGTGACTGATGAAGACGCTTGGGGGGAATGTGGCGGGTTCAGGTCTGCCCAGGCTTTTGCGTCGGAAGAGGCGGGACGGGATGGTGGACGGGCATTCAAATGTAATGGTGAGGGGCGTAAAGACTTGGATTCGCGATGCGCGTGATAGAATGATGTGGTTTGCGAGGTCAAGAGCGCCGGGCCGTGTCCAGGAAGAGGAGGGTGCTGAACGCGACTTTTGATTTCACGAGTCGTGACGGCTGGGTTCTTGATACCTTGCAGCGTGCACGCCGGCAAGCGATCGACCGGAAGTGTTTTTTTAAGCATCGCCAACATTGTCTGCGTGGATGTGGTGGTACGGCATCAGCATTAGAGAGCATGGTTGGATTACATGGCATCGGGGCGGTGGGAGGAGCAGGACAGGAGGTTACTGGAATGGCTTTGAACATCCGAGTCCGACTTTGCCATGTACGAAGTAGAAGGAATGCTCCAGATGTAGACCTGAAATGGTGATATTTGACTTTTTCGTTGCACCCTTCTTAAGAGGATGTCTGAATTGCATGTTGTTGCGCCTTACGCTGTGCAGACAGTAACTTTCCTCGCGGTCAATACGCCCCCTTTCCCCCCCCACCCCAGAGGCAAATTAGCATGCCCGATGGTGCAGGTCGAGCCGCCGCCGCCAAGAACGAGGGAAATAGCGATGTAAAGGACCTCGACGTGGAACCAACAGCGGAAAATATCGCTATGTCGCCCGGTGACGCTGCCAGAGGGACTCCTGACGCGCCGGGAGAAGAAACGGGTTCCACGGCCAGCGCCCCCTCGCCTGAGATGTCATCCGCCGTGGAGGCAGAGTTCCCCGCTCCAATGGAGGTAGACGAAGCTGTTCTTCCCAGCGAGAGTCAAGGAAGTGCCAACGGGGGCGTTCCCGACTCTGTCCAGGCCGAGGCTGGGGCCGGTCCTGACGCCTCCCGTCCCGCGCCCCTGCTTCCCGCTGTGTCCGCCCAGGTGCCTCCACCACCTCCAGCAGCCTCCGACACAGGGGAGGGCCTGACATTCCGGGTCCTTTACGGGGTGCTCGAGCACGAACCCTTGTGCTACCTGTTAAAAGTCGGGGAGGCGACCCTTCTGCTGGACTGCGGGTGGGACGTGCAGCTGGATGAAGCCTTGCTCGAGCCCCTGCTTCCTGTCCTTCCCCAGGTCCAGCTCGTCCTCCTTTCCTTTCCAGACCTTTCCCACATGGGGGCCTTGCCCTGGGTGGCCAAGCACCTGCGTCCCGGCGTTCCAATTTACACGACCCAGCCTGTTTTCAAGATGGCTCAGATGGTGCTCTACGACCTGTACCTGAACAAGTGCATGGACACTGCCAGCGGCGCCGCCGGGTGTCCCGCCTTTACACTCGACGAGGTGGACGCCGCCATGGCGCGTTTCCAGCTTCTCAAGTTCTCGCAGCCGCTGGAAGTGCGGCAGCAGGGCCGCTTCTACCTGAGTGTGACTCCTTACCCTGCGGGACGCATCCTGGGCGGGTGCTTTTGGCGCGTGAACTACAAGAAGATGGAGGAGATCGTGTACGCGGTGGACTTCAATCTCAAGAGCGAACGGCACCTTACGGGGGCCGTGGAGGCCTTCAATGCGCTGAGCGCGGACAAGGAGCAACGACCCTGCCTCTTCATCACGGACGCGCGCCCCTCCCCCAATCTGTCGACGGACGAACGCAAGGTCGAGACCGAGTTCCTGGCGGCGGCTACCGGGACCTTGCGGAAGGGTGGGCATGTCCTCATCCCCGTCGAGACCTCGGGACGCGCCCAAGAGCTCTTGCTCGCGCTCAACGGGCACTGGCGCTCCGATCGGCTCCTGTGGGGCTACAAGATCGTCCTCCTCCACCACATGGCGCGTAACGTGCTTCACTTCACCAAGAGCATGGTCGAGTACATGCACCCCGAGGTCATCCGGGACTTCGACCGCTCCCTGCGCAACCCCTTCTCGCTCAAGCACGTGGTCCCCGCCCAGAGCATGCTCGAGCTGGAGGCCGCCATGGGCGAGTACCGGAACCCGGTGGTGGTGCTTGCGAGCGACGAGGGCATGGACACGGGCTTCTCGCGCGCCCTCGCCACCCGGTGGGCGAGCGGGCCTGAGAACGCCTTGTTATTGTGCGGACATCTGCGGAAGGGGAGCCTGGCAGAAAGCTTCTGGAAGCTTCGGCACCTGCCCAAGGCGGCGCTTTCCTTCAGCGTTCCAGTTATAGAGCGCATCGTGGGGGAGGAACTGGCAGGCCTGCGAGAGAAGGAAGACAGGGAGCGTCGGAAGGCTTTGGAGGCGGAAGAGTTCCGCCGACAGGCCCATGAGCTTATGGAGGGTACGGTGGGCGCGGTCTTCTCGGAGGAGCAAGGGATGTTGGCAGGAAACTCGTCCAACGGCCCCCTGGCACCCCTTCAGGCCTCCTCCTCGGCCAAACGCCTGCGTAAGACCGCTGCCATGTACCGCCGGCCTCGCTATCTGGTCTTCGGGTGTCGAGATCCAGCCAGCGTGGAGGTGGATGCCTATGGAGAGCCGCTGCGGGAGGGGGAATGCGTGGACGAGGGCAACGCCGGGGGGGGGCCGCAGGCGGGGACTGCGCGGGGGCTCGTCTTCCAAGGGCCAGGGGCAGGGGGAGGAGGTGGGGGAGTGCAGCGGTGGGGGTATCTGGACGACGTGCTCATGACAGAGGGAGAGGCTCAGGTACGAGCGGGGACGGGTGCCTTGAAGTTTCTGATGCGGGAGTCTGTGGTGGAAGTGCGGTGGCGCGTCAGAGCCTTCCCCATGGAGGGCCGCTCCGACGGGAAGAACCTGCGGGCAATTTTGACGAACCTGGCGCCTCGAAACATCATATTCGTGCGCGGCACGCCTGAGTCTTTCACGGACCTGACGTTGCATGCAGGCAAGATGCTGGGGTCCTCCACACGTCTGTGGACACCGCCGGGCCCAGGGAAGGGAGGGCAGGAGGAGCAGCTGGGAGAGCTGGTGGGGGTTCTCGATGGCCTTGTGGGGGGATCTGCTGCAGAAGGGGCCATGGCGGCTTCTGTAGCCGCGGCAGCAGCCGCAGCCGCCACAGAAGCCGCCAGGACGGTGGGTATACGGTTTGATAGCAAGGTCACGGATGTGAGCTTGGAGGAGGACGAAGGAGAGGAGGAATGGAGGGAGGAAGCGGCACCCTTGGTGTTGAAAGATATGGGTAACTATCGTCTGGCGCTCGTGCAGGCAGTGGCCTCGGAGGACCGCGTGGATGCGAACGGAAAGCCTCTGCTGCGCTGCCAACCTGTCGTGGCGACAAAGGGAGGCACCGTCTTACAAGACAAAGGTAGTGAGGAAGTGAGCGATGGTGCAGAAACAGCTTTCTCAGTCCTGTCCCAGACAAGGGCGCCGCTCTGGCTGGCGGACGGAGACGTGTTCTTGACGGAATCCTCTCAGCGCCAGTCTCTGCGGCAGAAGCTCCGAGAGGCGGGTGTGAACCCCGACTTCCACGTTGGACCGGAAGGGGCTTCCTTGATCTGCGATGGGACGACAGTGGTAAGGGTGAAGGACAATAAAGTCATGCTAGAGGGCCCGCTTAGCGAGACTTACTTCAAAGTTCGGCAAGCCATCTATTCGCGGTTCGTGGCTTTGTAGGGAGGATGGGCCAGAGGGATGAAAAGTGAAGCATATTGCCAAAGCACAGGACCTGGTGTAAAGCACTGGAATTAAATCGATTAAAAGGAGGTTCATACACTGCGGTACGATTGTTTACATTTTTCTTTCACGCAGTAATTACAAATAATTCGCAAGTCTGCATCTCAGCCACGGCTGTGTGATAGTTTTCTCTGCGCATAAGTTTTTTTCTAAAATCGCCCGTCAAAAAATGGAAATCCGATACGTGACGGTGGCAATTGAAATCAGTCCTTCGAAAGGCAACAATTTACCAAATCAACAAATGGAAAAAAAGACTACAAGCATGGGCATGAGCAGACCGACAGCTGTCTCGTCCTTTCCTCCCGTCATCAACCTCAAGCATCGTAAGGCCATATTTCTTCACGTCGCTCGACCTGGACTGTCTCACCCAATTCATGATGCACTCACGTCCATGCAATACACATATGATAGGGCGCCCCGCGGATAGTTTTCCGCTTTTCGTCCTTGTGAAGCAACCGGTGCGCCGATTGCTGAGGAAGGACAAGGCCTTAAAGCATCGCTCAGAAGCAAACTCACTCTGTGCCCTAATTCGTGCGCATCCCTCACTCTTGTCTATGGACACCGATCCTGAGCCGGCAGTCTTGGCTATATTGCTGGCCTTGGCTACCTTTTATCTGCTCCGGTGAGTGGACGCGTTACAGGTAGAACGGGCCTTGCCGTGCTGATCGCGCACGATTTCCGTGCACTGCACTCTTTCCAACGACATGCGCCTCACTGTCTCCCTTTCTCATCTGTTCACTTCAACTAGCTACTATCGAAGCCCTGATGTCTCCCCATCAGTCACTGTCCTCATATATATATCATGGTTGCTGGGTTTTGCCGGTGTTTTCCTCCTGCCATACGACCTAGGAGATGTGCAGGTAAGAAGAATGGGGAGGCAGCACCTTTAAAGATGCATGGTAAAAATCAAATCAAGAAAAGATATACGACAAGTCTTTTCAGACGAAGGTTTGCGTGTAGGTCCATGCACGCATCACTCCTCCATTCAAAGTTGAATTGCCTTCCCTAATGCGCCTTGGTATGCTTCCTCTATTTTTCCATCCTCCTCGCCAGGTGTATCATCGCTCCCTGCCGTGGATTTTGAAAGTATGGAAAGGCATCTACTGGTCCACCTTCATTCTCACCTGGCTGGTGCTCCCCATTGTCTTCTCTTATCTAGAGAGCGGATACTTCACCCCCCGGGACAGGATCCTGGATGCGCTCCGGGACCAGCTCCGCATGGCCTTCATCGCCCTGGTTGCTTTGGTCGGCTTCTGTATCTATTTGGTCGCACAACGCTACACCCTGGCTGGAGCGGAGGGCCTTTTGATGGCCCTGGGGAACACGTACGGACTCCTCTTCGTCGTCGTCTTGTTGGGCAACGGCCTGGTCGAGGTGCCTCGGAAGCTCTGGAAATCCTCCTTCCCAGACCAGGAGCTCAAACGCCTCTACTTCCGGTCGTCCCTCGTTGACAGCGACCTGCATGACGCCGTTTGCGTCCTTTCGGACGTGGAGGCTGAAGTCTCGGCCCTGCGGGAGCAACTTCGTCAGAGCCCTCCGGCCGGCGAGGAGCTCGCCCTGGAACTCGACGCCTGCATGAAGATCCTCCAAGACACGCGTGCCTCCTTCCGCCATCGCCCCGAGGATATGACCCTGGGAATGCTCCTCCCCCGAACCCCCTTTGGGGTCAACAGCCACCCGACGAGCGGTCCCCCGCCCTCCTTGGCCCATTTGGCCGGCCTGCACGCCCGCTTGAAAAAGGCTCAGCTCCGCGTCCAGGTG